GGGCTGCACTCCAAGTCCTGATAATTTCAATACGCTCTCAGCCATCTTCACAGAGGCCCGGCACTGAGGAGGCGCTGCCAGGGCCTGTGCCTGAGCCCCAGCCCTGCAGTTGGGAGGAGGCAGAGTGGCAGAGACCAGAGAGGGCTGGCGTCCCTCACGGCCTCCTGGGCTTCAGTTTCCTTCATAGGAAATGAAGGTTGCACAAGGTGATTTCTGAAACCCCATCTTCCTTTGCAGGCATCTACAGTGACCAGGAAGTGACTATCCCCCACAGTGAGAAGAGATTGTACAGCTCACCGAACCCAGCACAGCCTTTCCTCCCTGCAGTGCCCAGGCCTGCTACCTCAGGTTTAAAAATGCCCGAGGTCTTTCCTGTGCTTTCTGCTTTAGGATCTGAGTGTGACAGAGTGGAGACGAAGGGAGAAAATGGCTCTCACGTGCGCTCTCTCTCTCTCTCTCTCTCTCTCTGACCCTCCCTCTCTCTCACCTCGGCTGTAAAATGAGGATAACAACCTACCATAAGGAAGCAGTTATCTCCAAGGCTATGGGGAAAGCTCATGGGACAATAGGTCCAAAAGGCTGCCAGAAGGGGTGGGGAGTGCAGGACACCTCACTTTCAGGAGCCAGTCAGGCCCAGATGGGAGCAGCCAGAGCAGAGCGAACGGGGACTCAGCTGAGCCTCTGTCCTCCCTCTCCCTCCCTGCCTGCCTTCTTCTTCCCCCAGACTTTTGTTTCGCTGCCATTTATCTACCTGCTGGAGGATTCTGGGAGTCGGAGACCCCAGGACATCTTGCCTGGATACTTTGGGACCCTCAGCAATATCCTGGAAGACTATTTGACATTTTCCCAGCAAAGCTGTTTCTAAGATTACATTTAAAAAGCCAACTTTCTTAAAACTGGAATTCAGTTCCACTGCTCTCTGCCGTACTGGGGCACCTACTCTGATGCTGAGAGGTGCCAACTTTCTATATTCGGGCGTGGATGTCACCTGGCCTCCCGCCCATGGCACTTCTGAATCCTTTCAGCCTGCGGTCGTCCGCACAGATGTGCCCTGCATCTCAATGTTGCCACCCCAGCCTCGTCACGTGCCCATCTGGCAAAAACACCCAGCAACTTTCTGCACCTTCCCAAAGAGTCAGCTCACAGCTATACCTGTTTTCCTGGGCTACATCTGTCCTGGGCTTTCAAATAAAACATTTTGCTTTTCAATCATAATGAGCTTTCAAGGAAAGTAAGCAGTCTTATTGTTCAATCTTAAAGTTAAAAAATTGAGGCATAGTTGGTGCTTTCCCCCAACCCATAGCATTCCAGATGCCAAAGGCAGGGCTGAAACTCGGGACTCCTACATCCAAATCCAGAGACCAGCGTGTGCCTTGTGTTCTTTCCTCCTTTGTCAGAAATCTCCCGTCTTTTTTGAATGATGAATCCCATACGGAGGAGAGTTGAAGATAAGATTACCTGCTGCAGCTCATCTTTAGGAACACTGACTCGGTAGGTCTGGGGACCCAGGAGATGACTTCCCAGTGGCGATGCCACAGGTCGTCCTAAATTGAAAGCCTCCATCTTTTTGAATAGAGACCCAATTGTCCTTTCTAACGTGACCTCCCATCTCCCCCAAACACCAACCTTGGGTCAGGCTAGGCTGGTAAATTCTCCAGGTCCTGAATTTCCCTTGCTCCCTGGACGCTGCTCGGGTCCTCTGGGATCTTCTGTCTTCCCAAACATCTCAGTTTGCCCAAGAATTCCCTTTTCAAGGCCCGAGTACACCTGCCTGTTCCAGGAAGCCTGTTTGAGGGTCTGAGTGCAGGGATTGCCCCTTGTGGGACACTCAGGACATCGAAGCCCAGAGAACTGACTGGCATTTACCTCCTGCAGCCTGGTGTTGCTACGGATCTGTCCCCTTCGTTCTGGTTGTCTCTGCGGGACAAATGCCAGAGGCGCAGAAAGAGTCTGAGGGATGAGGCAGAAGCAGCAGGCGGGCAACCAACTGTGTGCTCTGCGGCCCTGAGTGGGCTGTGGGTTCTTTGCTGTTGGTTTTGCTATTGTTTTGTCTTTGACCTTCTGCAGTTTTCATCACCAAAAAGAGATACTAAAGGTAAATAGCTATCTTGAGATTCCTTGTCAGTAAACACCTAGCAGCATTATTGGAATCCCAACTTTGCTCCCATTACACCAGGAGTTGGATTGTCAGAGGAAACCACAACCTGAAATGTGACTTCCCATCGCATCCTAAGTGCAAGGGTCCCCAAATGCATGTACATACGGGTTTGGCTAAGAACGGCCAGATGAAGAACACCTGCAGAGAGCAGAGCCAGAGCGGCGAGGCAGAGAAGACTGGAGGACCTGGGGCTGAGGCTCCAGGGCTCTGATGATGGCACCGCCTTCTTCAGGACTCCGACCTGTTCAGTCTGAGGAACCAGTCACGGAAGGTGGGGACTCAGGACGGACCCCGGCCCCAGCCCAGGCTTGGAGTCTACCCTTCCGATGACCCTGGCGAGGGCAGGGCTAGGTCCCCACGCAGGCATGGTCCCAAGCAGGGGTGTGCACAGAGACCAGGAACCTTGGCTGTCGCCCGTCCCAAGGCCCCGAGCCCCACGTGTGCCAGCCGGGGGAGGGGCAGCGCTGCAGAAAGGGCTGGGGCTGAGCCCCCCGCCCAGGTCCTGGGCCTTGTCACACCTTCCCCTTAGGAGGGAGAGAAAGGTGGACAGGAGGAGCGGAAATGACCCTCCACCCCTCCTCCTGGAAATGGCAGGGGTCACTTCTCCTGCCCCTCCTTCCCCGTGAATATGTAAGGACAGATAAATAGCTCTTCCATAGGTCACACCCTTAGCAGTCAGACATTCAAGGGAGAACATTCCAACGGAAGAGATTTTGTGCACAAGGGCTGGATGTATAAAAATGCAGGACATGTGCACAGAAGGAGTGACTGAACCTGGCACGCACATAAGGAAGCGGAGGAGGAAAAGGCAAGAGAGATATTGCCAGATTTGGATAGCCTTGAAGTCCAGGCCCAGGACTTTGTCTTTGATCATCAGGCAGTGCAAATCCATGCCTCTTATTGGAAACATAACTCTAAGCATCTGCCTGTACCGCAGCAGTGCGCAGGGCTGGGCTCTGACAGGAAGAGCGGGCCTTGGCCGGCCCCTGCCCCTTACCTGCTGGGCGCAGTTTTCCTGAGGGTCAGGACGAGATCACCCAGAACCTTTGCCTAAAATATGGCGCAGGAAACCTGAGTTCCGAAACAACAGGAATAGAACTAGCAATGGGCTTCGAGTGGGACCCGCTAGTGGGGACAGAAGGGGCAGGGGCTGGGGCCGCAAGGGAGGGCCCGGCCCAGAGGGTGTGTCTCTCTGAGGACAGAGGCATCACCTGGTCAGAAGCAACAGGAGGGAAAAATAAAGGTTGATCTCTCAATGGAGGGACTTGCTCAACTACAGAGAGAACCGTGACAACTGTCCGAGCTCTGAGGGATCTCTCCAGTTCCTGCTCCCACTCTGAGCAGGATGAAGCCCTTATTTGTTCAGCACACTGCAGTTTGCAAAGCCTTCTTACACGGCATCTCTCACGGGCCCTCAGAGACACTCGGGCAGGAGAGCAGGGGGCATAATCCCTGTGGGAGGAACCGAAGCCAGGGCCACCAGCAGGTCTAAGATCAGGCGGGCTTTCCTTCCGGCTCCCTCAGTTCAAGGCTCTGTTGAGCGGGGCTTTGGCTGAAAAAGAAGACTTGGTGAGGGTTGTTGCCAAGGTGGCTGCAGCAGAGAGGGCTGCTTGGCCATCCCGCGTGGCGTGGACCCCATGGGCTGTGTGCAGCGTTGCTGAGCTCACTTTCCCAGAGCTTCAGCAGAACCGAAGAGAGCAAAGGGGATGTTAATCGGAGCTGGCGGGTGCCTTTGGGGCCTCCCATTCTACCACACCTTCTCTCCTCCTTGGCCCTCTGAGTAGTCCCAGCACTTGCAAAGTGGGTACAGTGATAAACATTCATGGCTCCAAGGCCAGAGGATGCTGAAACTAGCTTTTTAAAAACAGCAATTTGAACATCGAAGGCAGGGTGTGTAACTTCCGGTTTGAGGTGGCTCCCTCTATTCCACACTGTCTCATAGCAGACCCTCTGTTGATCAGTCAACAAGAAATTTCTTTCCACACACACAGGGGCCGAGTATCCCCCGTAATTAGTGATGACATTTTCAATCCTCCTGGCCCTGGAGACATTTGAACTCATGACTCCGTGGCAGAACAGCACAGGGGTGAGGCTGGGCCCTGGAGCTGCACCCGACCCCGTTTCGTGGTTCCCAGCCGGGCCTAACCAACGTGCACTGCAGTAACGTGCACTGCGCTTTCTCAAAACTGGCTTTTCCAAAGTTCCTGCTGTTTCTCTAACAAACCTCCGTAGCCAGGGGCAAATGGGGGCGCGCTCTGCGTGGGCTTCTCGGCGTGGGCTTCACCGGGAGGCTGAAGCCCTGAACCCAAGTCGGTGCAGCCCCGGAGGAGAGATCTGTCCTTGACTCAGAGCCCAGAGCGAGCGGATCCGCCGCCCCTGAAGGGCTTTGCTTTCAGACCCTGCCTGGGAGAGCGGAGGGATTCAGTGCTCCCCTCTCCGCAGCCCAGAACGAGGCGAGGCGGGGTTTCTAACTTGGCTGGCTTTCCCTCCGGCTGTCTCTCATCAAACGCCTCCCCTTCCCCTCAGGTGATCCGCTGAAACTAAATACCCCGAAATTACATTGAAAGGGGCAGGAAAAAAAGCTGATACAAAATTTAAATCAAAATACAGGCTTAAGAGTTCCTAGCCTGTGAAATGTGAAGCAGACAGGGGCCTGCGCGGTGCGGGCCTGTTCCCGGGTGTGCGTGTGGCCCCAGGTCCGCGCCTCCGTGGTCCGGGCTTCCAGAGGCAGCCAGGGCAGACCCGGCCGGGGCCGGGAGAGGCCGGGCCGGGAGGGCAGAGGCCCGGACGTCCCAGGCGGGCACCGGCGTCCTCCGGTGGGAGCCCCGCCCGCCGGCGGCCCAGCCCGGCCTTGCTCGCGGCTCTGGGCCCTTCCGCCGCGCCCTGTGGGCCTCGCTGCTTCCCGGCCGGGCCGCCTGTCGGTCGGGTCTTAGCTGGGCGCCGGGCAGCCCCTTCGTGCTCGGTTACAGCCCGGCTGAGCCTGAGCGAGCAGGAGGCCGGCGCCGACTCCGGCATGAGGCCGGGTTCTGGGCCGTCCCGGGTCCCGGGTCCACGCGGCTCTGGCGACCCCGAGCCCTGAAGCCGGCCTGGGAGAGTCCCGGGCGCCGAAGGCCCCGAGCGGTACCAGGAGGCACGGCGCGGTCGGCCCCGGCCGAGAGGGTGAAACGCAGGCGGGAGGAGGACGCAGGCCCTGCCCGGGGTGAGGCGCTGCGCTGCTGCTCCGCCCGGCGGGCCGGAAGGGTGAGGGCGAGCAGCCGCTCTCCGGCTGAGCTCCTGTTCCCGTGCGAGTCCCTGGGGAAGGAGGCCTGCGTGCCCCGGGAAGGGCCACCCCTCCAAACCCTGCCTTACGGGGGGCACCTGGCCTCGGGAGGGGAAGCCGGCGCCCAGGGTCACGCAGCTGCTCCAAACACCTTCATTAGGCCGCTCCCCAGAGCTGGAGGCCGCCGTTGGGCCTCAGCCAAGCCCTTGTTGGTTAAGGCCCAGGTTCCCCGAGGCCCTAAAGCGCCGCCTGGTCCCTCAGTTGCCCTAAGAGTTTTAAAAGCGCTCATCCCAGAGCCATGGCTGGGCAGGGCCACCCGGGTCAGCCTCTGTGGGCAGCTCGCAGAGCCGGTTCCTGCACTGCTGTCCTGCTGCTCTGGAGTTAACCTCTTTTTGGCAAATAAGCTCATGATCCGGAACAGTTACATGAAACCAGAGGACATCGAGACAAGGCTATTTGTGCCCTGTCTTTTTTAGACCGAGTCTCTGGTGTGTTTATTTGGGAGTTTGGCTCTTGCTTACTACCCCACTGCTCACAGGTAATCCTGTGTTTTCTCTGAGCTACCTTTAAATCCACATCGAATGAAAAATACTGCCTGATTTTTAAGTGTGTGGTATTATAAAAAGAATCTCAAGGTTCACGATCTCAAATTTATTGTCAAATGTATTTACTGCTCGTTTTTCTTTCTTACTTTTTTTTTCAGGCTCAAGTCGGCCTAGAAGTTTTCAGCATGAGTCACGAGGAACAGGGAGGAAAGATGATGGATCATGTTTCCTGGGGAACTTCTCGTCCAGTGAAAGAGATGCCCATAAAGAGTCCTCCCTCAGCTACAGCCACTTAAAACTCAAGTTGGCTTAAGGGCAGATCCGTGCCCGGTTTACCCCATCTTATCTTTGGCACTGCACTTGGCATGCAGATGTGGTTGGCAAATGTTGACTGCGTTGGTTGCCACTGGAGTAGGCACAAAGCCAGGGCCTCCACTCTTACTGGCATGGTTTCAGTTAGAATGGTTTCTAAAGAGCTGAAATATTTTTGTTATTCTCTTAGATGTCAAATAAGACAAAGAAAAAAAAGAAATGTTACTTTAAACAGTTCTATATTTAGCAAAATATTTTGGAAATAACTAAAATTTTATGTATGTAAAGTTATATATGTATCTTATATTTGCTTTCTATATTGCTATTCTATATAAATGTATCTTATACAGTGGACCCTTGACTTATGAACTCAATTTGTTCTCAAGGGCTGGTTGTAACTCAAGTTGGTCAGTGAAGGCTCGGGTTCCTCCCCACAGGCTTCAGTCTCTCTCCTGTGCACAGGCAGATCTCAGTGTCCTCAGAGAGACACTGGCCCAGGATTTCTCAATGAACCCCACCCAGGAGAGGATGCTGTCATGTTCCTTCCAGACCTCTTTAGGGTTAAATCTGTATCTGAGACCATCTGGAAGCACAAGTGGTCGATATTTGGGTTGTAACTTAAGAGTTTGTTCATAAGTTAAAACTAAAATTCTGGTCATAACCGAAGTTGTTTGTGTCAGGCCAGTTGTAACTCAAGGGTCTACTGTATTTGCTTTAAAGCAAAGTTCAGGAAAAATAAAGGTATTTTAACATTTTTTAAAAATTTAGACTAAACTTTTTCTTCAGGTCTGTTCCTTTCTACTTATTTTAGGCACCTGGATTGGTTGACTCATGGACTCTGGATAGATCTAACCAAAATGGAAGACAGTGCATACTGAAGTGTGACTCGGGAAACAGAAATCATAGCGCCATTCCAGGGCTGGCCTTCATCTTCGGCTGTGTGGCTTCCATCACCTCTCGTGGACTGAGGGCAGCGCATGTGGTAGAGACAGAAAGCAAAAGAAAGAACGTCAGGGCAAGCCCGTTTGCGTTTGCTGTCTTTCTCCAGTGTGCCTGGTGCCACGTGGGCTCGTCCAGCCTGAAACACGGAAGCACCAAGCACACATGCTGTGTCTCCACTTGAGTCACCTGAGGCACTGCCGGTCCACTCATGATGGGGAAGAGCCAACCACTGATAAATCTTCGTTGTTCCTCTGATGGGGCTGTGTCTTGTGCCGCACGCCGGACATCAGCTTTCATTGCTCCGTGTGTCTGTCTCCTGTGATCCTGTCTCAATTCGCACGAGACGCAGCACAGCCTTGAGAACCAACGTACCTGTTCCTCACGTCCACCGTCTAGCTCAGTCAGGGGCATGATCCGGACTTTCTAAGTAGCCCTCACACCCAAGAGGTGCCTCCATGCCCACCTGTGAGGACTCTTTCCAGACAGCTCCACTGAGGAGACACCCCAGCTTCCTCCAGAGGACTTCTCAAGGGTCAGCACCTGCAGTCCTGTAACTAGTCAACCTCTGCCCTGACTGTAGATTTTGAGATAATGGTTAAAGCCCACTCAGCTTCCTAGAAGTGCTGTTGGATTACATTAGGCAGATTAAGAATCACAGTGTAAATAGCTTACACGTTTTATTCTATTTGTCAAGACCATGCTGCCTGGGACTGCAGTATAAAAGAGGGCTCAACTCTTGCAGGGTTCAGTGAACCCCATTGGGATCCACTCTAGACAAGCTGACATTGCAGCTTGCAGGCTGTGGCTGTCACACGGAGTCCTCAGTGTCTCTGCCCTTTTCACATCCCAACAGACCCTAACATGCTGGAGCCATCGCCACACAAGTTCCCTCTGCCGTCAGTATCCTGGAATAAGGGTGTCAAATATACACATCCTGAGCTTTAATCTGTAAACACAGCCCCAAGCATCTGGAGGAGAAGGTGTGTTCACGCTTCGCTCCTGCTACTTCCATGAAGTTCCAGAGCCGATCTCTGGCACAAACCAGTAGGAGGACAGAATCAGAGGCTTGACCTGTGCACTGTGGGTGCCCGTAAGGCTAGTCCTGGGAACGCAGCCTCATGCTCCCCATGTGGCCACCAGACTCACGCTGGGGGACCCCGCAGGCCCATCCCTGGCGGCTCATCTTTGTCCTTGGGCCCTCGCAGGCGGTGCATAGGAGTGAGGAGAGCACAGTCTCCCCTCTTCAGGAAGTGACAGCGGTGCCGTGGCAGAGCCTGGTCTGCAGTCCTAGATCCCACAGTGCTGTCCGCAGCCACAGCTTCAGGGTGCAAGGTCTGAGGCAAATTTGAGAAGAGTTTGGTGATCAGCTGAGAAGTAATGAAAGATGCCAAAGACTTTGACAGTGATGGCCACTCAGGGCAAATCCCTTCCAGCATCATCTTTCCAGTCCTGTGCCGGAAATCAGCTCTACCCACCAAGAGAGAGAGTGGCTGCTGTTGCCTCTACTCAGGGCCTGTAGGCTATGTGAACCACAGCTGTAAGTCTGGGGTTGGGAACCAAAAGAAAGAAAGGGAAATTGTTATTTTCTCAAAAGAAAGGAGGCAGAGTGAGAAAACGAAGGAGACAAAAATAACTGAGATGAGGGTGAAGCTGATTTGGAGCAGATTTTCTTCCCTAAGGAGACAGACTGACCCACACAGCACACATTCCTCTCCCGGAAGTGTTTGCGGGTCCCCATCAGGACGAACCCCGAGAGTCCTTCTGAGGCGGGGCATGCAGTCAGCTCTGAGAAGCTCGCTCTCTCTGCAGATCTGCCCTCTGCCACTCAGGGGCCACCGGTGGAAGCCGGGAGGCTGTTAACTCTTGGACACTGGCGTGCCAGCTCCTGCAGGGCCTGAGGCTGAGTCAGTCGTGAGGGGCGGAGGGCGGCCCCCGCTTCTCTCCGCACGGACGCCCTGGCGATCCGGGTCCACTTGCCCCGCTCCTCACACCGCGCACACGGCACACCCGCACTTGCCCCCACCTTGGCCGCAGGCTTGCTGCTGAGTGCCTGGCACCCTCGGGCGCAGCGCGTGCCCTCCTGAGGCCCACACTCACACAGGGCCACCTGCCTCACCCTGCCGGCCCTGGATTGTGCAAGCAGCCCCACTCTGTGCTTTGTTTTTTAGCCTCTGGATACGTTTTTTTCTCTTTATCTCTGGGAAGACAGTGGAAGCTACAATGAAGCCCCACAAATACAGCAGACCCGGTACTGGGCCCAAGGCCGGTCACCCTGTCACCTCCAACAGGTTCTCTCTGACCGAGGGTCCTTCTCATCTCAAGAGCCGATGCACTGAAACCCCCTCACTGGTGGACACTCCATGGTTAATATCCTTTTCTCTTCTGTGATCAAAAGAAATTCTGTTTTCTCAAGGATGCTGGAAGTTCCCCATGGAGAAAGAAATATTATCATTTCTCTCTCACCCCTTTGCACCATGGACTAAAAAGCTTCTCAAACCTCCTGGGTTCCGCTCACAGCCACCAGGCTGAGGGAAAGCAGCTGGGAACACAGCCCAGGAATGTGCTTCCAGAAGTTTCTGCCTGGCTCTCCCGGGCTGCACCTCACAGGCTGCACACAGTCTGTGCACTCACAGCCCCTCAGCCAGGTCAGATCTGATTCTCACGAGCCCAGTCGCCTCAGGACAAGCGTTACGATTTTCCACAGCCCAGATGACTGGATGGATGAACTTGTCTAGTCACCCAGCAGGTCAGCGGCAGGGCCACCCCCTATATTCGCAGTGCAAGCTGTTGCATATTTCGAATTTGAACAAATCATACCATTTAATTTCAAGCTAAACCTAGAGTCCTGTTATACTGAAAAGCAGAGCAATTTGCAAATTCATGATTTAAGAAATTGCATTAATAACATAAATGATTAGAGACAGTGAGAATGTCCAGAGGAGTTTGTGGGGTACAGGGCAAGGGTGAGGACAGGGAAAGGGGTTGATGTTTACCCTGCAATCTCATCACTTTGGAAACATTTGATTACAATTAAGTGTGCACAAACATGTTAGCAGGAATTGAAATAATAGAAATGGCATGAGAATGCTGTTTTTGGTATCTCATAAGAGCCTGCTTCTGGGATTTTATCTAGACATGCACTTAGTTATTTTAGCATCACATCTGTATGGTGGGGGTATTATTATTATTTCAATATTTTAAGTAGCTGCCACTTAACTATGAGATATGTTTTAATATGAAATACATTTTAACAACTGGATGCTTTAAAAGACCCCCCAAAATAACTGTCAGGCACAGAAAAGCGAACACTGCATGATCTCACTTACATGTAAAATCTAAAAAGGTGAAACTCCTGGAAGTATGAGACTAGAAAGGTAGTTACCAGAGGCTGACAGGAGGGTGGGAAAGGTGAATCAGAGGAGAGAAGAGGTTACCCAAGGGGGACTAGTTTCAGGGAGATGGGGCACTAAGTGCTAGAGATCTCTGTGCTACTATAATAAATAACAATGTATTGTGTATTTCAACATCAGTAAAAGAGTAGACTGTAAGTGTTCCCACCACAAATAAATAAGTATGTGCAATGACAAGTATGTTAATGAGCCCAGTCTAATTATAACACAATGGATCCATGTATCTAACAGCACACTATAGCTCGTGATTACTTTTGTCAATTTGAAAATAAAATTTTAAAAAGGTTCCTCTTCTAAAAATTTTCTAAAATATTTTCCTGAAACATAATGACAAATGGGAACACACGCACACACACACACACACACGCACACACACACACACACACACACACACACACACACACCCCATTACAGTAGAAATGAAAAAAGTACAAATAAGAGAAGGGTTAAATAAGCCATGGTAGACTGATGGTGCATAATATGTTTATCCTAATCAGACGGAAATAGATGTGGGATGCATGGTCAGTGTTGTGTAACAGTACAAACATTTACCACCCATATACACATTCACACAAGTGTGTGCAAAATATTAAAAAGTAACAGTGGGAGGACCCCGGGCACACTCACCAGCCACCAGCTTAACCACACAGGCCAAGGGTCCCTGGCTGACTAAGCCCTGCTCAGTCCAGCTCACTATGGCCACTTGTAACCAGAAGAAGTGAGGACCCCCTGGGCATGCGGACCAGCTACCAGCATAGTTGCGCAGGTGCCTGCAACAACAAACACTCCCCTCCCCACCTCTGAACTCTTGACTGTGCAGCAACTTGGTTCCACACTACAGAGGCACAGGGGGACATAAAGGCCATTGTCCTGAGCTTCAGAAGTGAACAACAGAGAGAGGGCCTCTCTCAGGCTCCTTGATGAAAACTGAAGCCCACTGGAAAAGTGAAGAGAATCTCTGCAATAACGGCACACCAGACCACCGTGCTTGGTAAGTTGGAGAGATCACTTTATATCGGAACCTGAACTATTTTCAGGGGAAGGGCAGCTGGAACCTGCAGTAGAGCCTTGCAGAGTTCAACCCTGCAGGAGGACAGGGAGCTCAACTTGGGACTTGCAGCCAGAAATCTGCCTGAATCTCACAGGTCTGTGAATCGCTTACTGAGACTCACTGACCTATGACTGCACACTGCTGCCCATGTTGTCTATTGTGACAGCTGAGACATACCCTGAAGGAGGCCCTTCATCTTTATCTTTTATTTGTTATTTTCAAAATGACCACTATTGTTTTGCGCTTATTTTTAGGTTTTTTTCTACTTTTTCTACTCTTTTAAAATTTTTACTTTTCTCCTTTTCCTTTTTCTCTTTTCGTTCTCCTCTCTCTCTCTCTCTCTCTCTCTCCC